AAAAACCATCTCCAGATTACAGCACAAACAAATTAGAATTCCAGATTAAGAAATTCACTCAAAACCACATAACTACATGGAAATTAAACAACTTGCTCCTGAATGACTTGTGGATAAATAATGAAATTAAGGCAGAAGTCAAGAAGTTATTTGAAATTAATGAGAAAACGAGATGCACTGGGCGTGGTGGCCAACGCCTGTAATCCCAGCACTTTGGGAGGCCAAGGTGGGCAGATCACGAGGTCGAGACCATCCTGGCCAACATGGTGAAACCCTGACTCTAAAACAAAAGAGAGAGAGAAAGAGATAATATACCAGAATCTCTGAGACACAGCTAAAGCAGTGTTAAGAGGGAAATTTATAGCACTGACTGCCCACATTAATAGGCTAAAAAAGATCTCAAGGTAATAACCTAACATCACAACTAAAAGAACTAGAAAACCAAGAGGAAACAAACCCCAAAGCTAGCAAAAGGCAAGAAATAGCCAAGATCAGAGTGGAACCGAAGGAGATACACACACACACACAAAACCTTCAATAAAAATCAACAAATTCAGGAGCTGTTTTTGGGGGAAAAGTTAATAAAATGATCTGCCAGCTAGACTATTAGAAAAGAGAGAAGAATCAAATAACACAATAAGAAATGATAAGTGGGATATCACCACTGACCCCACAGAAATACGTACAACCATCAGAGAATACTATAACTACCTCTATGCACATAAACTGTAAAATCTACAACAAAAAATGGATACGTTCCTGGACACATATACCTCCCAAGACTGAACCAGGAAGAAATTGAATCCCTTAGTAGACCAATAACAAGTTCTAAAATTGAGGCAGTGATAAATAGCCTACCAACCACAAAAAGCCCAGGATCAGACAGATTGACAGCTGAATTCTGCCAGAGATACAAAGAAAAGCAAGTACCATTTCTATTTAAAGTATTCCAAAAAATTGAAAAGGAGGGACTCCTCCCTAACTCATTGTATGAGACCAGCATCATCCTGATACCAAAACCTGGCAGAGATACAACAAAAAAACTTCAGGCCAGTAGCCCTGCTGAACATCAATACAAAAATCCTCAGCTGGGCACAGTGGCTCACGCCTGTAATCCCAGCTCTTTGGGGGGCTGAGGCAGGTGGATCACCTGAGGTCAGGAGTTCAAGACCAGCCTGACCAATATGGTGAAACACCATCTTTAAAAAAAAAAAAACAGGAACAAAAATCCTCAGTAAAATACTGGCAAACTCAATCTAGCAGCATATCAAAAAGCTTATCCACCACCATCAAGTGGGCTTCATCCCTGGGATGCAAGGTTGATTCAACATTCGCAAATCAATAAACACAATTTGTCACATAAACAGAACTACAGACAAAAACCACATGATCTCAATAGATACAGAAAAGGCCTTTGATAAAATTCCAACATCATTTCATGTTAGAAATTCTCGGTAAACTACTACTGCCCAAAGTAATTTTTAGATTCAATGCTATTCCCATTAAACTACCATTGACATTCTTAACAAAATTAGAAAAAAACTGTTTTAAAATTCATATGGAACTGAAAAAGAGCCTGAATAACCAAAACAATTCTAATTAAAATGATCAAAACTAGAAGCATCATGCTGCTTGACTTCAAACTGTACTACAAGGCTACAGTAACCAAAACAGCATGGTACTGGTACCAAAACAGACACACAGACCAATAGAACAGAATAGAGACTCAGAAATAAGTCTCTATTTATTGGTACTGGTACCAAAACAGACACATAGACCAACAGAACAGAATAGAGACTCAGAAATAAGTCTCTACAACAATCTGATCTTCAACAAACCTGACAAAAGGAAGCAATGGGGAAAGGATTCTCTATTTAATAAATGGTGCTGGGAGAACTGCCTAGACATAAACAGAATATTGAAACTGGACCCCTTCCTTTTACCTTGTACAAAAATTAACTCAAGATGTATTAAAGACTTAAATGTAAAATCTGAAACTATAAAAACCCTAAAAGAAAGTCTAGGCAATACCATTCAGGACATAGGCGCTGGCAAAGATTTCATGTCAAAAATGCCAAAAGCAATAGCAATGAAACCAAAAATTGACAAATGGGATCCAGTCAAACTAAAGAGTTTCTGCACAGCAAAAGAAACTATCATCAGAGTGAACAGGCATCCTACAGAATGGGAGAAAAATTTTACAATCTATCTGTCTGACAAAAGGTCTAATATTCAGAGTCTACAAGGAACTTAACTTTATGAGGAAAAAAAACCCACTTTGGGAGGCCAAGGCAGGCAGATCACCTGAGGTTGGAAGTTCGAGACCAGCCTGACCAACAGAAAAACCCGTTTCTACTAAAAATAGAAAAAAATCAGCCAGGCATGGGTGGGTCGTGCTTAACCCAGGAGGCAGAGGTTACGGTGAGCCAAGATTATGCCATTGTACTCCAGCCTGGGTGACAGAGCAAGACACTGTCTTTAAAAAAAAAAAAAAGTAAAAAGTGGACAAAGGACATGAACAAACTCTTCTCTAAAGAAGACATACATGTGATAAACATGAAAAAAGCTCAACATCACTGATCATTAGAAAAATGCAAATTAAAACAACAGTGAGATACCATCTCATGCCAGTCAGAATGGCAATTATTAAAAAGTCAAAAAACAACAGATGCTGGCGAGTTTGTGGAGAAAAATGAATGCTTTCCTACCATTGGTGAGAGTACAAATTAATTCAACTGTTGTCTCAAACAGTGTGGTGATTCCTAAAGTTCTAGAGGTAGAAATACCATTTGACCCAGCGATCACATTACTGCGTATATACCCAAAGGAATATAAATCATTCTCTTACAAAGGTACATACATGTGTATGTTCACTGCAGCACTATTCACAATAGCAAACATATGGAATCAACCCAAATCCCCAACAATGATAGACTGGGTAAAGAAAATGTCATACATATACACCATGGAATACTGTGCAGCCATCAAAAGGAATGAGATCACGTCCTTTGCAGGGGCATGGTTGGAGCTGGAAGTTGTCTGTGGCAAACTAACGCAGGAACAGAAAACGAAGCACTACATGGTCTTACTTATAAGTGGGAGCTGAAGAATGGGAATACATGGATACTTGGTGGGAAACAACACACACACACTGGGGCCTACTGGGGGCTTGGGGGATGAGGGAGAGCATCAGGAAGAATAGCTAATAGATGCTGGGCTTAATACCTGGGTGATGGGATCATCTGTGCAGCAAACCACCATGGTACACATTAACCTATGTAACCAACCTACACATCCTACACATGTATCCATGAACTTAAAAGTTGAAGGAAAAAAAAAAACATTGTTAATGAGGCAGATGACTCTGGAGGGAACATTTTGCAAAACCATCCAACAGAATGTCTCTTCATCCCTAGAGGACCCAGTTCCTGGTCCCTCAATTGCTTCTCATGTTTCTTCTCATCTGAAAAAAGTAAAACACAGTGGACAGTAACCTTTCCATCAAAACACAGCATGGTAGTTAGAGACTGAAAGCCTACAGCTGTCTGTTGCTGTCACAGCTGAGACAGGTATTCTGGCGATGCTACTGTGCTGCGCAGTTACCTGAACACATTATTTTTTTAAACTGTATTAATTGTATGTCATATTTTTTACTGTCAGGTACATGTGTAAGTGTGAGAAAATGATTGCTTATCAGTAATATATGAATTCAGTCAGGAATAATGGTGATGCCAAACAAGCTCAGATTGTCCACATGGGTGGCTGAGATAGTGACACCTTTGCTTTCTATGCTTCCATGTATACAAACTACTTCATGACAGAATTATTACACATATGTACAAAATAACCTCCAAGCTGTGACTGTAAGGTATATATGAAAGATAAATACGTTTCATGATTAGAATTGGTTCTCATCCCCAAGATAGTTCATTGTGTATTTGCAAATATTCCAAAATCTGAAAAAACCCAAAACACCTCTGGTCTCAAGCATTTCAGATAAGGGATTGTATAGCTAAATACTACCACACCCAAAAGAAGAGATTATACTTGAATTACACAAATAGCTAAAGGAAATAGAAAAAGATTAAATACTCTACCCAACTAACTTAATGATGTTAGTGTAACCTTGATTCTAAAAGGGATAGCACAAGAAAAGGAAGAGGGAAATTGTTTTATTTGTAAACATAGATGCAAAAAATTTAATAACCTAATCAAATCCAACATTGTATTGATTGATTGATTAATTGAGACAGAGTGTTGCTCTGTCACCCAGGCTGGAGCACAGTGGTGTGATTCTCCTCTCCAGGATCTCTGTCTCCCAGGTTCAAGCAATTCTACCTCAGCCTCTTGAGTAGCTGGGATTGCAAACATGTGCCACCATGATCAGCTAATATTTTTGTATTTTTTTAGTATAGATGGGGTTTCACCATGTTGGCCAGGCTAGTTTTGAACTCCTGACTTCAGGTGATCGACTACCTCGGCCTCCCAAAGTGCTGGGATTACAGGAGTGAGCCACCATGCTGTGCCCCAAGATTGCATTTGAAAGTACTGAATAAACAGTTTTTATCTAGGAATTGACTTAAAAACCTAATAAGAGTTTAAAGAAAATACCTTCAGACTAGTTTCATTACAGTCCTAGGTTTTAAAACATCTTCAGCCAGGCGTGGTGGCTCAAGCCTGTAATCCCAGCACTTTAAGAGGCTGAGGTGGGTGGATCACCTGAGTCAGGAGTTCAAGACCAGCAAGGTCAACATGGTGGCACATACCTGTAATCCCAGCTACTCAGGAGGCTGAGGCAGGAGAATCACTTGAACCCAGGAGGCAGAGGTTGTGGTGAGTTGAGATTGGGAACTGCACTCCAGCCTGGGTGACAGAGAGAGATTCTATCTCAAAATAAATAAAATAAAACATTTTCATCAACCTCTGGTAATCTGTAGAAAACTTCAAATTACCGTGAAATGCAATGCAATAGCACTTACAAGATATGTCTCACAAAACAGATGCCGACGTCAGTAGCTCAGACAGTTGTCCAGAAGGAAAGTGGCCTGCAGCACACCCGAAAGATGCTGTATGTCGGTGACCCAAGTGTGAAAAAGACGGCCATCTCACTGCTGAGGAATCTGTCCCGGAACCTTTCTCTGCAGAATGAAATTGGTGAGTGCAAATGAGTCTCTACATGTAATATGTACAAACTGAAGATACAACGCAATGAAACGTTGTCTGTATCACCTCTGTTCACAGAGCTGCACTGGAAATGGGAGTAAGGAGTAGGTGATAAATCTCCCTGCCTTTTGTGCTGCCAGATATCACAAACAGGCTTTCTCAGTGGATCTCTCCAGAGATTTTTAAAAAGATCTAATTTTTTTAAATTACTACGAGAGAAATTTTAGAGCATGCTGATAATTAACAAGATAAGTAATATTGTTGTTACTTTTCACTGGGTGGCCCCTGAGTCACACCATCCAGTGAAGTCTTTCTAATCCATATAGTTGTCTTTCAGAATGTTCTCTCTGTGGCTCTCTTAAGCACCACTATTCTAGAACATTTGAAAAACAAATGTAGTGGTGGTTTACTTTAGTAGTTTGGCAGCGTGTTGAACTTTTAAAAATGGATAAACAGATAATCACAATAAAAAAACAAAAAGAAGGAGTCATTGAATATAGCAGATTTGGCATGGATTTTTTTTTTAATAACTATGATCAGACATATTTTGCCTTTGACTCTGTATTATTGACAGATGATAACTATGTTACATTATCAAATAACGTAACTTTTTATTTGTTTACTTATACCAAGAAGTATGTGATAAATGTTTGTTGTATCAAGTAAAAAAATTACAAAATGAGGCCTAGCAGGATAGCTCATGCCTATAATCCTAGCACTTTGGGAGGTGGAGGTAGGTGAATTCCCTGAACTCAGGAGTTCGAGACCAGCCTGGGCAATGTGGCAAAACCCTGTCTCTACTAAAAATACAAAAAAATTAGCCAGGGGTGGAGGTGCGCACCTACAGTTCCAGCTACTCAGGAGGCTGAAGCAGGAGAATCTCTTAAACTCAGGAGGCAGAGGTTGCAGTGAGCCAAGATTCGGCACCATTGCACTCCAGCCTGGGTGACAGAGCAAGACTCTTGTCTCAAAAAAAAAATTATAAAATAAGATAATAGAAAGATAATGCTAAAATTAAACATGGTTCACAGTACTCTGTAAACTGGTCATTTCTAACAGCTCAAATTCAGTTTTTCACAAAATTTCACAAAAATTAGAAATAACATTTTGTTTATTTGTTTTAATGGATTAGATTTTTAAATATGCACATACACAGCCCCAGAGATATTAAAGGCTGCAGTTATATTTTAGTAATGTCATTTTCAAAGCCAGCCAGCAGCACATTTGACAGGAGGTTTTATACAATGGCTTCATGCCCATTATGAGTAGAGATAGCCTGGAAAATTCTCAGTGAATCTAAAAGAGACCTCGCCATAGGCACTCTCAAAATTATTAAAATGCTCTCCTCATGGTCTTTTGTGCTGAACTTGAATAGAGGTGTATTATCTTTTCCAGTTTTTGTTATTTTCCCAAATGAAAAATTGACTCTGTCTTTAAAACGTTGCCAAGGTAAATAACGGCACTGTATACATTGTGCATGTACCTTCAGGGCAGAAATGCTGTTGGCCTAAGGTTCCCTAAATGTTGGGAAGGTATAGCTATGGTTTATGTTAGATGATTCTGTTGATAAACTTCACTTTAAGGATAACAGAGAGAAGAAGCTTCAGCAAAATAAATGCAATTTTAAAATTCCAAATTCACTTCATGTCAGATATGTAAGTACAAGGGCTTCCTTCTCTTGATTCAGAATTTAATAGCCAGAAATAAGTGAAAATCAGCTTGAACATATGCTTTGTGTTTCTCATGAGAGCTTTTCTAAGCCAGGTAGCTTTACCTGTTCTGACCTGCAATAAAGTTGTTACATTTTACTTCTGGCTAGAGAAATAAGCTTGAAACTTACATTTTCTGAAAATCTTAAAGACAAGCAATGTAGCATGGTAACAGAATAACAGATTTCACTCAGACAAAGACAGGGGTGTGTATCTCACAGTGCTATTTTGCCAGTCAAGGCCTTTCATTCTATAGTTGAACTTAATAAAAGGAAAAAGCCTTCTGATAATGGCATCCATTGAGAGCTTACCACATGCGCAGGACTATGATACAGTTAACATGCATTGACTCATTTCCTCAAAACAACCCTGTGAAGTAGACAATATTATCCCACATTGCAACTTAGAGAAAAACAGAGAGTTTAAGTAGCTTGCGTAGGCCCATAGAGCCATAAATTAGTAGCAGAACCGTGACTGAAACGAAAGCACTCTGGCTTTAGACAGACACTGAGCTCTCCACAGTATGCTGTGTGCTTGAACCACAGTTAAAAAAAAAAGTGTTCAGGCCTGTGAGCAGAAGGTATGTCTTACCTGTCAATCAGGTCCAGGTATTATGATGACATATAATGTGACTTGTCTGTTTCAGGAATAATGATTAATGCTAGAAACACGGAAATAAGTAAGATAATTGGCTTCAAGGAACCCACAGCCTCATTTGAAGTTGAAACAGTCACACAATTCATTACAATCCTGTATCATAGGGAGAGAAATGTGTTTAAAGATGCCACATGAATGCAGATGAAGGCACACAATAAAATCAGTCAGTTTTTGTTTATCCCTGATAAACACAACATGTATTCGGGAGCTGTGGGGATCAGCAAAAGCAAAAGATGCATGCTCTCTGTCTTTTAAGAAGACTCTAAAGTGGTTAGAGAAATAAGAGGAAAACATACATGAAATAACTATTACAAAATTTAAGTACAAGTTCACATTGACATGTATCATAGGACAAGTTCTAGTGGACTTTTCAAATATTAATACCTTTTTAAATTTTTCAATAGTTTTTTGGGTACAGGTGGTGCTCATTACATGGATAAATTATTTAGTGATGTTTTCTGAGATTTTGGTGCACCTGTCACCTGAGCAGTATACACTGTACCCAATGTGTAGTCTTTTATCCCCCACCCCCTTTCTACCCTTTCTCCCAAGGCCCCAAATCCATTATATCACTCTTATCCGCTGCCACTTATAAGTGAGAACATACAATATTTTCTTTTCCATTCCTGAGTTATTTCACTTAGAATAGCAGTCTCTAGTTCCATCCAATTTGCTGCACAGGCCATTATTGCTTGCTTTTTAATGGCTGAGTAGTATTCCATGGTGTATATATACCACATTTTCTTGACCCATTTGTTGGTTGATGGGCATTTACGTTGATTCCATATTTTGCAGTTGTGAATTGTGCTGCTATAGACATGCATGTGCAAGTGTCTTTTTCATGCAATGACATCTTTTCCTTTGGGCAGATACCCAGTAGGGGGACTGCTGGATCAAATGGTAGTTCTACTTTTAGTTCTTTAAGGAATTTCCATACTGTTTTCCATAGTGGTTGTACTAGTTTTCATTCCCACCAGCAGTGTAGAAGAGTTCCCTTTTCATTACATCCATGCTAACATCTGTTGTGTTTTGATTTTTAAATTATGGTCATTCTTGCAGGAGTAAGGTGGTATCTCATTGTGCTTTTAATTTGCATTTCCATGATAATTAGTAATGATGAGCATTTTTTTCATTTGTTTGAAGCATATCAAAAAATTTTCATATGCCATTTCTATATCTTCTATTGAGAATTGTCTCTTCATGTCCTTAGGCCACTTTTTTGATGGAATTATTTTTTTTCTTGCTGATTTGTTTGAGTTCTTTGTAGATTCCGGATATTAGTCCTTTGTCGAAAGCAGTTTGCAAATATCTTCTCCCATCTGTCTGTTAACTCCGTTGATTATTTATTTTGCTGTGCAGGAGCTTTTTAATTTAATTAGGTCCCATTTACTTATTTTTGGTTTTGTTGCATTTGCTTTTATGTTCTTGGTCATGAACTCTTTGCCTAAGCCAACGTCTACAAGAGATTTTCCAGTGTTACCTTCTAGCATTTTTATGGTTTCAGGACTCAGATTTAAGTCTTTAATCCATCTTGAATAGATTTTTGTATAAAGTGAGAGATGAGGATCCAGCTTCATTCTTTTACATGTGGCTTGCCAGTTATTCCAGCACCATTTGTTGAATGTCCTTTCCACACTTTATGTTTCTGTTTGCTTTGTCAAAGATCAGTTGGCTCTAAGTATTTGGCTTTATTTCTGGCTTCTCTATTCTGTTCCATTGGTCTATGTGTCTTTTTCATTTTCTATAGCCTAATTATGGAAGTGATGTATCTACTTTTTTAATACTTGTTAGTACAAAAAAAAAAGCCAAACTCAAACTTATAACCTAGAAGTTATATACATAGTAGAAATGTACATTTAAAATAATTTATTTCTCTTTTTAAAATAGTAGTATTATTTATGTATTGAAAAAAACTTGGAAAGCACAGTTTGTTTATTTATTTATGTTTTTTAAATAGAGAAAGGGTCTCATTATATTTTCCAGACTGGTCTCAAATTCGTGGGCTTAAGTGCTCCTCCTGGCTCGGCCGTCCAAAGTGCTGGGATTACAGACATGAGCTACTGTGCCTGGCCCTAGTTCACTATTAATACTGTTATAGAAAAATAGCTCCTATTAACGTTTTTCCTCAGGTTTCTTATGTAGTGTTTCTTTTTTCTTTTCTTTTCTTTTCTTTCTTTTTTTTTTTTTTTTTTTTTGGTGATATTATAGTTTTTGGTTGGTTGCTTGGTTTTTGGAGACAGGGTCTCTCTGTTACACAGGCTGGAGTATAGTGGTATGATCTCTGCCCACTGCAGCCTCTGCCTCCCAGTTCAAGTGATTCTTGTGCATCAGCCTCCTGAGTAGCTGGGACTACAGGCACAGGCATACGCCACTACACCTGGCTAATTTTTGTATTTTTAGTAGAGACGAGGTTTCACCATGTTGGCCAGGCTGGTCTTGAACTCCTGACCTTAAGTGATCCATCTGCGTTGGCCTCCCAAAGTGCTTGGATTACAGGTGTGCGCCACCACGCCTGACCAATAATATTATGTATTCTTTATATAAATAAGTATACTGATTTTTCACATATGCTATTAATGTAATTATTTTCTTGTTATTATACATGCTTCATAGATATGTGTTGTAATGAATAATAGTCTTTGCAGGTGTGTTTTAGTTAATCATATTCCTATTCTTAGGATATTGAGGCTTTTTAGTTTTTCATTTACATGTAGTACTGTCATAACGCTCTCTGTAGAAAGTGTTTTTCATTTTCAAAGTAATATCTTTTAAGATGTATTCCTACACATGGAATTACTGAATTGAGGAAGGTGAAATGTTTTTAAGTTCCTGACCTTTCTGCCAAATTACATTCTGAAAAGATTTTCCAGGTGCTGAGCACAGAATATCCTCTTCTCAAACAGTTTTAAAAATTTGTTATTAGGGAAGTTAATCTTTCCATGTGTTGTTAACCAGCTGTGTTTCTTTTTAAGAATGTTCTTTACCAAAAACATATTGGGATCTTGGGATTAAGAAACAACCTTTTTAATCAAGCGTTCTTTTTTTTCATTTTGTAGCCAAAGAAACTCTCCCCGATTTGGTTTCCATCATTCCTGACACAGTCCCGAGTACTGACCTTCTCATTGAAACTACAGCCTCTGCCTGTTACACATTGAACAACATAATCCAAAACAGTTACCAGAATGCACGGGACCTTCTAAACACTGGGGGCATCCAGAAAATTATGACCATCAGTGCAGGCGATGCGTAAGTCTGTCAGCTGCCTCCCTGTTCCCTCACCACCCTGAATGTAAATAACCCAGTTGTGAAGGTGCAGTCATCAGCATCATGTGCAACATGGCAGCAAACAGGATGTAAAGCCAGATAATCTGGTCAGCCCTCAGTGATCAGCCAAAAGAAGAACCGAATCCATCACGCCACATGCTTGTCCCTTTTCTTCTCAAGTATCACGAGAGGGTCAAACTCCAGAGCCTCTCTTGGTAGTGTATTGTATTGGCCTAATGAATAAGTTTCCCAGAGCCACAGCTGTGATTTAGTAACAGCAGAATGTAGGGAGAGCAGGAGTCCTCTGGACAGGCAAGTGCCCTTTTCCTCTGCCACTACCATCTTGGGAGGAGACGTCACACCAGGTGGCTTAGAAGAAGCAGTGATGGCCAGGCACTGTGCTCAAACCTGTGATCCCAGCACTTTGGGAGGCCAAAGCAGGTGGATCACTTGAGGTCAGGAGTTCGAGACCAGCTTGGCCAACATGGCAAAACTCTGTCTCTACTAAAAATACAAAAAATTAGCTGGGTGTGGTAGTGCGCACCTGCAATTCCACCTACTCCAAAAACAGGCTTGAGAACTGCTTGAGCCCAGGAGGTAGAGGTTTCAATGAGCCGAGATCATGCCACTGCACACCAGCCTGGTTGACAGAGTGAGGCTCTATCTCAAAAAAGAAAAAAAGACAAGCAGCAGCAGTGATGGCACAGGAGAAGCAGTGGAGGGGAACCTGATGAGAAAGTCTTGTTTTCACAGTTTTTTCTCTATCTTATCTCTTCCACCTCTTATTCCCTTTTGAGAATAGAAGGTCCGGTACATGTCACTCCACTTCCCTGTTCCTGTTTTCAACTTTTTCGTATTTAAAAAATAACAAAGTGGGGATGAGAATGAAAAACCTTATATAACCAAATTATTTACTATTAGAGTGATGAGATTGGAAAGGGACATGAATATTCTCTTTTTCTCTTTATTCAATTCTGAGTTGTTTAACTTGTTACATATAGATACAAGTTACTTTTATAAATAACCAAACAAGAAAAGAAATGGCCACTATAGCCAAGTTCTAATGAATTACAAAGCAGATAACTTCACCTGTACTGAAGAAACATGGGTGTGCTTGGCTGTACAAGGATGTACATTGTTTCCTCCACCACAGCCCCACCGAATTTAGGCCCCTTCTCCTCTGTAGCCCCACTCTGCAGTGCACATGAGGAAGGAAAACTGCATTCAGTGTCAGATTAAAACAAGCCCTGAGCACTGGAGTGTTATATATCTGACCTGTCATTTGTGGGCTAGCCTAGGAACTAATTATCATTTATAACATCACATCTTTGAATAAATGAGTATCAAGTACCAAACAACCAACTTATAAACAAACTTTATGAATATAACACCCTTGCAATTTAATAACTTTTTACAGTTTCGAATATTAGAGACCCATCACTTCCATGGATTTATTTGCCCTTCAGTTTTCACAAGTGATTCTGAAAAGTCCAGGAGGTACTAGCAAGTTTGTGAGATGCTGGTTTGACTGATCCTCCCTGCCGGGCTAGTATGGAAGAGAAAGGCTTTTCACTGTTGAAAGAACACATCATGCTCTTCTCTGTACGTCTTTGCACTCTCTGGTTATGGTTTTATGTTTACAAACGCCTATGATATGAGTAAAAAAAACCTTGGTTTAAAAAAAAAAAATCAGCCATGTGCTAGTCAGGGGATAGAAGAGAAAGAGCTCTAAGGCAGCACTGATCTAAGCCAAAAGTGGGACATTTAGGATAAATTTAAAAGCAGAACATGGGGCAGGCAGGGTGGCTCACGCCTATAATCCCCGCACTTTGGGACCTGAGGCAGGTGGATCATCTGAGGTAAGAGTTCAAGATCAGCCTGACCAACATGGAAAAACCCCATCTCTACTAAAAATACAAAAATTAGCCAGAACGGTTGTGCACATCTGTAATCCCAGCTACTTGGCAGGCTGAAGCAGGAGAATTGCTTGAACCGGGAGGCAGAGGTTGTAGTGAGCCGAGATCACACCATTGCAGTTCAGCCTGGGCGACAGAGCGAGATTCCGTCTCAAAAAAAAAAAAAAAATTAAATAAAAAAATTTTTTAAATAAAAAATAAAAGCCGAGCATTAAATACTAAGTACAATGTCAAATGCAGTGGTGACTTGGATTTATAGCAGGAACAAGTTTTCCATTTGCTCTATACCGAAACATGAAGAGATTCTGAAACTGCTTTAACAAGGGCTGCCACAAGAATCTCTTTTATTGACTTGAAAAATTACTTTACTCCTGCATTCATAGCAGCACAAAAATCATGTTTATTTTTCAGTCATACTTTCATGCATTTTTATTCTGTAAACATACATTATAACCATTACAAATATAGATTCTATTCTATAAATAATTCAAGGATTTGCAACATGTCTAAGGATATATTCCTTATAAATATCAGGGATTTTCTCTATAAACTATTTATTTATTAGCACTGTCCTAGTGGTTTAAAAAGAAAACAAAAACAAATGTGGTCCCTGCCTTCCAGAGCTCACTGTCTAATTGGTCACCGAGTGACCTGACTTCATGGACGGCTGCTGGGAGCGGCAGTTGAAGAGTGCAGAGTCTTACAGAATGTCACCAGGCAGCATCCAGAAGCCTCAGTCATTCTGCCTGATCTCAGAATGTTCTTTTCTTTTCAGCTATGCCTCCAACAAAGCAAGTAAAGCTGCTTCTGTCCTCCTGTATTCTCTGTGGGCGCACACGGAACTCCATCATGCCTACAAGAAGGTAAGAACAGGAACAAGGAATGTGTCATAGTTAACAGAGGCTGGTAATAATGGCCCTCTTGACCCTAGTAAGAAATCACTAAAAAACTGCATTTTTTTATGTGCCAGTTTTGTTACCTTTCACGTTTCTGTTTGCTTATTCCTAAGGCTCAGTTTAAGAAGACAGATTTTGTCAACAGCCGGACTGCCAAAGCCTACCACTCCCTTAAGGACTGAGGAAAATGAAAACGTATTCTCAGCTGCAAAAAACCCCAAAGGAAAACACCTATTTTTCTACTACCCAGCCCAAGAAACGTCAAAAGCATGCCTTGTTTCTATCCTTTTCTATTTCCATGGTTCCCCAAATCCTGCAAACAAATAGAACATAATTTTATGAGTCTTCCAGAAGACTTTTGCAAGTTGCCACCAGTAGATACTGGCCTCAGGCTCTGTTTTACCCCCTACAAATAGTGGTCCTTATTATTGGGCTTATGGTGCATGGCCTCCTGGAACCAAAATATGAATTCATGTGGAATGGGCATTCATCCAGTAAACAAGGAAAGAAGCTGTTGCATTACTGGGATTTTAAAAGTTTTATTTACATTTATACTCCTTTTCTGGGTCGCTTGTTTTGTCACTCATGTGCACATTGCTTCCCCACTGGGCCACGAGTGTGTTGTTCTGCAGTGTTGAAACAGAATGGAAATGACAAGAAATGTCTGCAGTTATCCAGGAGAAAGTAGAATGGCAAAATTGTTTGTTTCTTGGTTTACCTTGTACTTGTTTTTATGCCCTTGAGTTGTTTTTTTTTTCTCTTATTTTTAAGTTAAGAAATTTAGATTACAGAATATGCATGACTGTGAGAAAAAAATTGAGAGGAAGTGATCATAGCAAATTAAAAAATCTTTTCCTCCCAGAACTTAAAATAAAATTAATAAAAATAAAAATCTTTTCCACAGAGAAAGGCAACTGTGATTATAAAATTTAACATTCTCCCAAACATTGAGTGAATGAGATTTTTTGCTCAGGAAATACTTCACCTGTAACACATTATTAAATGCAAATCTCTTCTAAACAATGGCATTCCGTGCAGTGTCTTTCTTGGGCTTTTTTGGTCACTGCCCTGAACTAGTGGAAGAATGGACTCTAGTCTTTTTTTTTTTTTGAGATGGAGTTTTACTCTTGTTGCCTAGGCTGGAGTGCAATGCTGCAATCTCAGCTCACTGCAACCTCTGTCTCCCAGGTTCAAGTGATTCTCCTGCCTCAGACTCCCAAGTAGCTGGGACTACAGGCACATGCCACTATGCCCAGCTAATTTTGTATTTTTAGTGGAGAAGGGGTGTCCCCATGTTCGTCAGGCAGATCTCGAACTCCTGACCTCAGGTGATATGCCTGCCTCAGCTTCCTGAAGTGCTGGGGATTATAGGCGTGAGCCACTGTGCCTGGCTCTAGTCTTTATCTACAAGAGGAACGAAGGCCTTCTATCAGACTGCCCAGCCAGCCTGGGCCACTGAAAATACAGCTCATTTTAATGAGTTACTTTATCAACCAGCCCAGCTTTGCCCCACATTTAAGAAATACCACAAAGCCACTAACTCTCATATGATCTTCATCAAGCCATTATTTTAACTCAAGAAAACTCTAGAGAAGAAAAATGAAGAAGTCATGTGGAAGAAGATATAAGAATGTCAGGACCATCCAGAAATGATATGAGAAATACTGACGTTTTAAAAGGTGACATCATCCAGTGAAGTGAATCTATATTAAGTGTTATTTTAACTGCGCTATGATTAAAACCTTCATATAGAGTTAGTCTTCAAAACTATTCTGTTATATTTTGCTTTTTAAAAAAAAAAAAAATCTGAGAACGTTTGTCATAAGGAAGAAAATTCTTCAACTCCTTTTGACCAGAAAAGAGTAATAGAAAATAAATTTTGAATGTGTACTTGTCTTTATTATATTTGAAACTAAAATTTTTTTCAAAATTTAAAAGCAGAATGAGGACAACTTACATTACTAACCTAGTACAAAATGGAATTATTTAGGTACCAATTTCTAAAATACTGGAGAGAATTTATGTCTTTTTCCAGAGTTCTGATGATATGCATTTGGAGTGCATTTATTCCTCCAGGCAATAAATGTATGTTCAAGAGCTTTTTGTGTTTTTTAAGGCATTAATAAAGCCTTCAATAATATTAAATACAAAATGACACAGAAGTAGTGTTGCTTGCATTGGTGTCTGTGTATATCTGATTTCTTTGTGTATCTTAGAATATATGGTATGATTGACATGAAGTTTGAGGATTTAACTTGTAAACTTCAACTTTAGTTAATAAGAATTTAATGGTTTGTAATGACTTACATTTTCCCCCTAATTAAAATCCTAATTTTTTTACCAAGAGGCATTCCCTGTGAGAATGGGAGGACTATTACCCACAGTAGAATTTCTTTCAAAATTGAATCAAAAAAAAAAAGAAGAATGGTGGGAATAGATAGTGACCAAGACTTATAAAAATGGAGAGACATACAGATGTGTTAGCTGTGGTTAGATTTTAGTATATTGGGTGCATCTGTGACTGAATAGACACACTACACTTGATTTCCACATGCTACCTTATCCACTCTGTTCGCAAGCACCTCACTGCTTTGCAATCTGTGAACACCTCTCAGGGAGGTTCTTCTGTGAATGAACACTTTTGATCACAGGTCTGTACATAAATGTTTGTTTTCCTATATATCCCAGACAGGGGCCCGTGCCTTCAGAGAAACTGGTGGGCTAAGCTGGGCCTTTTTGATTGTGTTTATTTGTTATTCTTGCTCTCTGTCAAGAATTCTTAATGGTCTGGAGTGAAGGAGGTTGCTGCCCTAGATTTCCCATCACTGGAAACATTTGTTTAGATCTGATGGCAATAACCAAAGGGTTACCTGATAAAACAGAGAGGGGATTAACATGTCAAGTGGGAGAATAAGCAGCAGGACTAGATAAACCACTATAAAACCAATTTAATCACCTTCTGAAGAAGCAATTTCTTAGAAGAAAACAGGAGATGGGAGATTATGTATACACACACACGCACGCGTGTTTTTATATAGACACCTTATATATATAAATATTTATATACTATAGTTATAAAATGAGATTTCCCCTAAATAAAATGTCAAATGAACTTACTGCTTTGGAATAAGGAGGCCTTCGGTATGTATGTACATTGAACAGAACTGCAGAAGCAGCCTCAAATCAGAATCTCAGGATTAAGAGGGAATTTAGAAGGCATTTGATCAAATCCTCCTCAAAGTATCATCTTGCATGAAAAAAGACTCCATCCTTATTAATACGATAGAGAAGAAAAATATGCAGTTGTACACTCAACTCATGCTCAACATGACCATATAACTCCTCTTTTCAAGACTCACTAACTGTTGCATTAAATTATTTCTTGTGGGAGGGAAAATAGATAAAAAAAAGGAAACTTTTCAAAATAAAATTCTGCTTTAACATTTTAGTTTATAGTGATGCTGACAGTTTCATCACTTATGAAGTAAATGTTAACCTATGAAGGACTGTAAGAAAAAACGCTTCATAATATGATGTTCAGGAACAAGAGATCAAAAATCCCAAGTATTGGCATAAGAATTGTTGAAAATGTGAGCAGAAGGGAAAGTGCCCTGAAGGCCCTAGTCTGGGAGACTCAGTGAAAGGATCCAGCAGTCTTTAGCCTGAGAAGGGTGTGTGTCACCTCTCTGTACATATTTGAAAGCCCACTGTAGAGAACATGATAGGCTTGTTCTGGCATAGTATAGAGGACACAAAAAGTCAGGTTCAATAGGTGGAGACTGTTATGAGATGCTTTGACGGGGTAATAGTGGACATATATTGAGAACTTCTCACAGCCTCATGAAATCATCCTCTGCTTTTTTAACATTTTAAAAAGAATGAAAAAAGAAAACCTTGAAGCAGACAAGGTTAAGTCATAGCTGGAAAGTGCAGAGGGGCTTTCTGAACCCAGATGGTCTGGCTCATCTCTGGGAGTCCCCTGTGAACTAGGAGTGAACAGTTCATGTCTCCATGCTGGTGTCTTTGGCTTTGCTGTATTTGGAGAGTAAAGAGTGCAATATGACATCATGGTTATGAGGGCTTATTCTAGAACAGCCTGAGTTCAAATTGTGGTTTCTTCACTTATTAGCTGAGGTAGATTTATTCTCACTGAGCCTCAGCTTTCCTTATCTGCAATGTGTGACAGTAGGATTTACCTCTGGGTTGTTTTGAGGGTCGATTGTTTTAATAAACACAAAGCATTTGAAACAGTACCTAATAATATCTATTCAGTAAATGCTGATATGGTTTGGCTGTGTGTCCACACCCAAGTCGCATCCCAAATTATAATCCCCACATGTTGAGGGAGGGTCCAGGTGGGAGGTGATTGGCTGATGAGGGTGATTTCCCTCATGCTGTTCTGGTGCTAGTGAGTTCTCATGAGATCTGATGGTTTTATAAGGCAGTTTTCCCTGCTCTTACTTGCTCTCTCTCGCCTGCCACCATGTAAGATGTGCCCCCTCCCCTTCTGCCGTGATTGTAGTTTCCTGAGGCATGCTCGGCCATGTGGAACTGTGAGTCAAACCTCTTTCCTTTATAAATTTCCCAGTCTCAGGTATTTCTTTATAGCAGTGTGAAAACAAACTAATACAAATGCTGACTAAATTGTTTGGAGGTTTGGAGGTCTTCGCTTTTCTTTTTAAGTTCATCTCTTGTGAATTTCTCTTTGAAGTTATGGCTGGTTTAGTTAAATGCCCCAGTAGAAGGCAAGGTAGAAATTAGGAAAACAAATACGGCCCAGGCAAGTGACTCCGAATGTCCATTCCTCAGAACATGATCCTCTATGGATAGTTCATTGTTACATGAAAAGAAATATCTGATACTTAAGTATTTTCTTTGTGAGAGAAGCATAGTTATACAAAGATCAAAAGCTTCTTGACCACATGACTTCTCAGAGTCCCTAATACGCCAGAGTGCATTGCAATTATAAAGTCTCCAAGAGGGACAGATTTTGCTGCATGTCAGAGACCTTTTCTTTGAAGCTGTAAGCCCTTTTTTTCCTTAGACAACTCTTGAAGCTATGCCACTGCTATAAACACTGACCAACATCCACCTCAGCCATACACAGGAGGATGAGGGGTGTTTAGCTCTCAGTCCAGTTCATCAAGCTAAGCCTCAGCCACTAATAAACCATTCACGGTGTTAATCATGAATTATCTTAGTAAAATCTGAACATCTGTGATTTCAAAAGATTGAGGGTCATTTTCTGAACATTTTGTTTCATGCCCACCTGGAGTACTGCAAATTTACAGACAGGTGGATAACTCAGAAGGTGGTTATTAGCCCAGAGAAGCAGGTGGAAGCAGTGACCGGCATGCTTGCATCTGGCTGATCAAATGCATCTCTTCACTCTCACATCGAGAAGCAGTTACGTCTCTCAGAAGCCTGAATTTCACCTGTAAGCAGCTGACCCACAATAAATTCTGGCAAGGAATACAAAACAAGTCCAAACTGTCGTGGATTTTCTTCCCAATAATTGGATGTTCTTCCCAATAACAATCCTTCAGATATTTTTTGGTTTGGGGATTTTAAGAAAAAAGTTTTGTTTTTCTTAAAAGAAGTTTTCATTTAAAAGAAAACTAAAAAAATTTTAAAGAAACCATTTAAAAGAAACATTTTAAGCATCTTAAAAAAGTTTTACTTTTTCATACATCTTCCAAAATGTATTGAACACCTACTCCTGGAGCTGAAGGCCAGTGATGTAACTTTATGAAGAAGTGCTCACAGATCTTTGTGAGATTTACTGTGCTATGATGGACACTCATCACTCACAGTATCCTTCACTTGAGAAACAAAAAGTTACCTATTGCATGGTAAGAGCTAAGGCGCCCTAGAGTCATACGGATCATCTCGAATAGATGTCTTATAAGAAATGGTTGGAGTGAGAAGCAAAGAATTATTAAAAAGTTACCTTTGGCTGGGCACAGTGGTTCATGCCTGTAATCCCAGCACTTTGGGAGGCTGAGGCAAGCAGATCACCTGAGGTCAGAAGTTCAAGACCAGCCTCGCCAATATGGTGAAACCCTGTGTCTACTAAAATCACGAAAAAATTAGCCAGGTGTGGTGGCATATGCCTATAATCCCAGCTACTCAGGAGGCTGAGGCAGGAGAATTGCTTGAACCCAGGAGGAAGACATTGCAGTGAGCCAAGATTGTACCACTGCACTCCAGCCTGAGTGACAGAGACACTGTCGTTAAAAAAAAAAAAAGATAGATACCTTCATTTTTAGCCAAAACAAGTTAAATCAGAATTAATGGTAAGAAGAACCTAGAAAATATGTAAATCTAATATTTAGGAAATGGACAAAATTTTTTTCTTAAAAACTTTTCTTTTGCCCTTTGTTCTAATTGCAGGTTTTTATAATTTCTAATTTAAAAATAGAAGTAATCTATTTTAGTGGGGATGTCTTAAGAGCTTTAAATAAGAATTATGTGTGAACATGTTAAGTAACACGTTCCCATTTCTTTTGGTAGCTCACACCTAAAGTGACCCAATTCTTATCATGTTCTGTTTCTCCTTCTTCAGTTTATCACTTGGGATGCTTCAAATTGAATTTCAGTTAAAAAAAAGTTCAAAACAGCTAATGCAGTAAATGCTTTTATTCCATGTAACAGGAAGGCCAGGTTTAGGCTTGGGCTTGGTTATTTCAGCAGCTCATTGAAGACATCACCAACCCAAATCCCGTCTGTCTTTCAGCTGTACCATCCTCAACATCTTGGCTTCTGCCTTATGGTTGATCTCTTCCTGTTTGCAAAATGGTTGCAGCAGCTCCAAACATTCCATCCTCACAGAGCCATGTCCAAAGATCAGAATAAACATTCCCCCCGCCCCACTTTTTTTTTTTTTTTTTTTTTTGAGACAGTCTTGCTTTATCACCAGGCTGGAGTACAGTGGCATGATCTCAGCTCACTGCAACCTCCACCTCCTACCTCCTGGGTTCAAGCAATTCTCCTGCCTCAGCCTCCTGAGTAGCTGGGACTATAGGTGTGTGCTACCACACCTATAGTTTTGTATTTTTAGTAGAGACAGGGTTTCACCATGTTGGCCAGGATGGTCTTAATCTCTTAACCTCATGATCTGCCTGCATCAGCCTCCCAAAGTGCTGGGATTACAGTTGTGAGT